TAAATATTTAAAATACTTTTCTTCCATGTTCCCATCCATTTGTTACACTCTGTATAGTGTAATGTTTATCGAAATGTTACATCATACGTCACAAGTCATACAAATATATTATGTCTTAGGGGACATTGGAGGCACGTTATCAAATGTATTTTTAAATTTTTGATAAATATTTATTTAAAAGCTAACGAGTCACTCTCGTTTTGCGGAGAACCTTATTTAACCTGCGCAATATATATTTTTTAACAAGTTGGAAGTATAAAACAAAATCACTATCCACTAGTCTGTTTGTGCGCTCAAGTTTTCACAACTTCTTCACGAATTTTAATATGGTTTTCAAAATTTAGAAAGGTGAGTTTTTCTTAAACGCTACTTTTTTTTTTTTTTTTATTGACGCTCGACAAGATGACTCCATGACGCCTGATGGTAAGCGACAGTGGAATCCAGAATGAGATCCATCGGTTCCGGGACTTGATCTCGATTCCGATCAACCTCACCCTGTCGGCCTGCAAATGTGCTTTTTCACGCTCCGTTTAAACGACCCAGGATTATAGGAAGAGGGAAACACGTGAGACGGTAATGAATTCCATTTCCTAATAGTGCGGCACAGGTAGGAGCTGCCAAACCTTTTGGTACGAGAAGGTATGGGTAGTACCGTGTGAGGATGGAATTTCCGACCAGCACGTGTGGTTTTGGAGAGGAAAGGAGAGGAGGGTATAAGTTGGAAGAGCTCTTCTGAACACTCGCCGTAATAAACGCGATAAAAAGCGGCTAGAGATGCAACATCTCTACGCAATTGCAGAGATTCTAAATACTGAGTAGCCTCAGGTTTATTAATTATGCGGATAGCACGGCGTTGCAATCTATCAAGAGCGTCTAACAAGTACTTTGCAGAGCCATCCCAGAGGTGGGAGCAGTACTCAACGCATGAGCGCACTTGAGTCTTGTAAAGTAGACATAGCTGCTCAGGCGTGAAGAACCGCTTCACCCTGTTCAGGACCCCGAGTTTACGCGAAGCTAACGAAATGACACTCTCGATATGGTTTTTTTGGTTCAAATCGTTGCGGATATTAACTCCGAGGATGTTGATGCCATCCTGCATAGTAAGGCGAGTGTTCTGAAGAGAGGGAAAACAAAGGAATGGAGATTTTTTAGCCGAGAACGCGCACACCTGCGTCTTCTTGGCATTGAACTCGACCAGGTTCTTTGAACCCCATTCTGAGATGCGGTACAAGACATCGTCGAGCTCACGGACAAGTTCTGTTCTCCTGTTATCTATCTCCATTCGATTAGCGGCTGGATGGCCAAAGTATCGACAGTGGACAGTGCTATCGTCTGCATAGCAATGAATATTACCCAGAGATAACATGTCATTGATATGCAGAAGGAAGAGTGTTGGCGATAAAACGGACCCCTGAGGCACACCGGCGTTCACCTGTAGGAAGCTAGAAGCTTGCCCATCGCAGAGAACGCGAATACTGCGCTCATGCAGGAAGTCAGCCACCCAGTCGCACAATCGAGGAGACAGACCGTAAGCCGGAAGCTTGGAAAGAAGAGAACGGTGCCAAACCCTATCGAAAGCTTTCGAGATATCAAGGCTAACAGCAATCGATTCGCCATGTTTGTCCATAGCCTCGCCCCATAGATGCGTCATAAAAGCTAGAAGATCACCCGTCGAACGTTTTGGTCGAAATCCATATTGACGATCATTGATAATGGAGTGATCTTCTAGATAGCGGATGAGTTGCGAGTTTATGATCCGCTCGAACACCTTACAGAGTACCGAGGTGACGGCTATGGGTCGGTAGTTGGCGGGATCAGAACGGTCACCTTTTTTGGGGATTGGTTGAATGTTCGCCACCTTCCAGGCCTTCGGCACAATTCCTGAGGAATAGGAGTTTCGGTACAGGCGCGTTAGTGCTGGAGCCAACTCTGCTGCACAATTTTTAAGAACAATCGCAGGAATACCATCAGGACCACTTGCTTTCCGGGTGTCGATCGACTGTAGAATTGACCGTACATCACGCTGCCTAATCTGGATATCAGGCATTGTTGTGCCACAATATGGTATAGTCGGAGGTTGGGCTCCACAGTCGTCGAGACGGGAATTGGCTGCAAACAGAGAGGCCAATATATTGGCTTTCTGCTGTGCGTCATGGGCCAGAGATCCATCAGGATATCGTAGCGGTGGCAGCGTAGGCTGGCAGAAGTTGCGTTGCACGGCTTTGGTCAGTCGCCAATAGCTACGGCTTCCCGTAGGGTGCGAAAGAAGTTCTTGACCAAATCGTGCTACGCGCTGAGTATCTGCTCTAATGTAAGCCCTCTTGCAAGCTTTAGTGGCCGCATTATAAGCAGTTTTGAGAGATTCGACATTGGGATCACGAAGGGAGCGGGCCCTAGTCCAAGTACGATAAGCCGATTGTTTCTGCTCTACAGCATCGGTACATTCGCGGTTGAACCAAGGACGAGATCTACCACCGCCGACAACGTCACTGAAGGGAATATAATATTCCATTCCCAACAGTATCTCATCAGCGATGGCGATTGCACTCTCGGACGGATCTCTCTCACCAAAACAGCGTGAAGACCAGGGGACAGACGCAAAGAAATCACGTAAGCCATCCCAATCAGCCGACAAGTAGTGCCATAACCTTCGCTTCACCTCCACAGGTCGTGGAGGAGTGACATATGGCACAGTAGCACCAACTAGACAATGGTCAGAAGAGCCCAAAGGCGCTCCGACCTTCACATTATATTTAGTTGGGTTATTTGTCAGCAAAAGGTCCAGCAAAGAAGGAGCTTGACCGACAATGTCAGGTATCCTGGTGGGCTGGAGTACCAGCTGTGTCAGGTCATGCGTGAGAGCAAAGGCGTGAGCAGTTCGTCCTGCGTGGTCAGTTTTGGAGGAGCCCAACCAAGTCTCATGATGAGCATTAAAATCCCCCAAGAACACCAGTTCTGCATTTGGGAACTGCTCCTGCGCATCATCTGCCGTCTGACTAAGATAATCAAATAGTCGAGTGGTCTCATTATCTCCAGTGTGGGAACGGTAAAGGCACACGTATATACAATTAATGGGTCCTTGATCAACAAGTACCCATAGGACAGAAAAGGAGGGGTCTTCCAAACAGCGCAATCGGCGACAGCAGAGACCTGCCCTAACATACAGGCACACTCCAGCTTTTCCGACAAAATTTTCTTCAAGGATGTAGCCGGGATACTGTAGGTATGATATGTCTGCAGGGGGAAGTATCTGAGTCTCCGTTAGGAAAAGCATTGCAGGTCTTACTGTCTCAAGATGTTGATGTACGGCATTGAGGTTGGAATGGAGCCCGCGGATGTTGGCGAACTCAACCTCAAATGACGTTTTTGTGTGGGAGGGTTTAGAAGTTGCCACTGTAAAACCTGAATGTGGAATTCGCGCTGTCATAATAGGAGGGAGAGGGGAAAAAAAACGGAGCACAAAAAAAGTGGTCAGAAACTATAGCAGAGAAGGAACAAAATGGAATCTAGAGTGCATGCAATGACACAAGCCGGTCCGCCGGACGGAAGGGCTCCCGTACCCCCCCGGAAGTAGACGCCGGGTCCCACATCCGGTCACCATCCGGCACGACGAGCTACTCCAAGATTATGCGCGGCCTGGTGGGGCAGCCTCCTGGAATGGTTAGTCCCAATCGGGCCCCTGTACTATGCCGCGGGCGGCCAGCGGCATCACCGTTTCTACAGGTCTCCCTGGCCGGCGGGCCGACTGATGCCATTTAGAACATGCTTTCTAGCGCTTATCGGTCCCTTACTCGCTACAAAATCTAACCACTTGTCGGCTATGCAGTGCTGACTCCGGAACGCGAGCCGGCCTACGCCGGATCACTATGGCGGATGTTTCGCAACTGCACGGTGGTACCAACCCGGTCGACTAACGTCTACCACCAGTGAAGCGGGTGTTCTGCTAAATAAATCCCTTAGCCGGCTCTTACGGCACCCACGGGAAAGAGAGGGGTGGTGGAATGTATTCTAAAGCCGCCACCACACGGCAGGCTACTTGAGAACTCTCCATCTTTTCTTCACCGCTGTAAAGATTGTACCTATTCTCTGACACTAATGTAATTAAATAGTATATTCTTTGTATACATATATATTTTTCCGACCATTAAAACCCTACAAAATTAATCTTCCTCTGTTGAGCACTGCTGCTCCCTGCAGGAGTATAAAATTTCTGTTTTATTTTCAACTAATAGAAATGAGAAAAACACTAATAGAGATCTATTAGTTCCCACGGGAACCGTTCATTTTTCCGGGATGAAAAGTAAGCTGTTGTAGACGTTTGACCGGCAATATAAGGTATCAGAATGTTAAATTTTACTAAATTAGGTGCATAAGTTGTTGTGTACTAAGCTGTATAAGATACTATAGTTTTTTAAACTATCCCACGGGAACTCTTTAATTTTCTGAGATGAAAAGTATCTAAGATAATGACCGGGGATATAAGGTACCACCATGCAAAATTTCATTTAAGTGGGTTCAACAGTTTCGGAGATTAGCCCGTACAAACAGACAAACAGAGAAACAAAAAAATTGAAAAAAAACTGGATTTGTTCTATTTGTCTTCTTACATACCCCTGACTCGGTTTTTAGTACTTTTTTGTATATGTACAAACATTCGACTTCTACTGTTTTATTATAGTATAGATAATAGACTTCGGAAGTTGGGAAGCTTGCAGTGTTTCATCCCCGTGACTTTGATCTTTCTAAGGTCGTGTCATCTCATCTGAGATTAAGAGTGAATGGAATAGAGAGTGCAATTGTGTTTAAACGCATTCTTGTGCATCATAATAGCTCTCGCGCAGTAAGCTAGACTCAATGAAATTTCTCTGAGCCTAGCCGGTGCTGAAATCGGTCAGTAGGATGTTATGTTTGTGCCTCGATGGTCTAGTGGCGAGCATGTACAGCTGGAGATTCGGAGGCCGTGAGTTCGATTTACAGTTTGATTACTGACTTTTTTGTTAAGATATTCTCAGTAGTATCCCGGAGTTGGGAAGTTGGCGGTGTTCCACCGCTGTGCCTCGGAGAGCATGTAAAGCCTGCGCCCCGGTCATGTCGAAGTGTCCATCGGATTTTAAAAGGAAAAGGAATAGAGAGTGCACTTGTATCTGTGCGTACACTTCCACACTATAATATCTCCTGCACAGTTGGTTAGTCTTAATGAGATTGGCCGCCGTGGCCGGAATCGATCGGGAGGACATATTTGCAAAATATTGATCATAAACGAGTCCGACTCGCACTTGGACAATTATAGTTAGACGTGATAACCACCTTTTTTGTGGACTGGATCCGCACTTAGTATTAGTATAGATTTTTTGAATATTATTTTGTTGAATTATGGTCTTATCTTACTTGTATAACATGATATTAATAAAATTGCGACTGCGTCATGAAAACAAATTATTTTCGAAGTCAACTCTGAGTTCAAGATAATAAAATGGAATGACGAAACTGTGAGTTCGAATTGCTTTGGTCGAGATATATTACCATTTCGAACTGTGATTGTTTTATATCGTTTCATATTACCATAATAAGTTTTTTTAATAATATCTGTTGTTATGTTAATTTAATAAATAAATATGTTGGGACAATGACACACAGAACCATCTAGTTTCATGGAAAGCTACGAGGCCTGTGTTATGGATACACTACGCATATATAACTTTAATTACATATATATTATAAATATAAATACTCATGACTGGGGTGGAGTACACACATTCTTGCTAAAAAGGAAAAAGTTGCATAGGTTTAGGTAAAGTCGCGTAATATTTAGCAAGAAACAATCGTTGCTTGAAGTCAACTAATTACCGCGTAGTCTACGTGTGACCTTTTGCTATGCAAATGCTATGTAGTATTCAGCTCTTTTTTTTAACGCCTCACTGCTGGGCACGGGCCTCCCTTCAATATGAGGGGGATCAGGCCATAGTCCACCACGCTGGCCAAATGCGGGTTGGCGGACTTCACATATCGTTCGAAAACTTGCTAGGTTCTCTCAGACATGCAGGTTTCCTCACGATGTTTTTCCTTCACCGTAAGGCAAGTGGTAAGCGTGCTAGAAGTGATTTGCACGTGAAAATATCAGAGGTGCGAGACCCGGGATTAGAACCCGCTTCACTCGGTTTCCCAAGCGAGCGTGTTACCACTGGGCTACCACTGCCTGCTACGTATTTCGCCATACCAATGCTATGTATTTCGGTAGATTCGTTGACTTTTTATTAAAATATTTCCTTAAAGAAATTTCAATTTTCATTCATAAAAAAAACATGAAACTTCTACATTATATTAAGGCATTAGGTAAAAACATTATTTTCGTAAACAGATTATTATTAACAGATTTTCCCAGCTATGATCATACCAAATTTCATCAAAATTTGTCCAGTAGTTTTCTCGTGATGCATTCCCAGACTATAGATTCTGCCTTTGTGTCGATAATGACTATTTCAATATCATTTTCCAAAAAATATTTAATGTACAGATTCAACTAAGTTAGAACTTTTGTATAAGTATAGATTGTTTAAAATTTTAAGTTAGGTAAACCTAAGTCAAATCGATATAATATCAATATATACGTAGGTAAGTAAAGCATAACACATAACACTTCAGTACCTTTTTCTCCTCTTAAAATTTGCCGCCCTGGGCACTAGCCCCGAGTGCCCCGAGTGTAAATCCAGGGCTGGCTTTAGTGTATCAATAAAAAAACTAAATAATTTAACAAGACTATATTGAAAACCCATATAACAGAGCGATGTGGGTTCCGCTATGGTTTTAGTGAGTAACAATATAGGTGTTACGGAAGTTGGGACCTCCATGGCGGATTTCCTTAGCGAAAACAAAAGGCTCGGTGTGACAAAGACGTTAGACATTTTAAATAACACTACATTTTCGGATTTATTTTGATTTTTGGTTCCCCGCGTTTAGAATACTTTACAGTATTCATGGTACTGGGTTATTTTGTTTAAATTAGAAATTTTTATTAGGCACTAAGTCCATTTCTTTGTATTTGATGAAATTTTGTTAAATCAAAATCATAATAATTAATATTTGGGTTATCACAAAATAACTAAAATTAATTTACTAGTATGTGTATCAGTATTTTCATTACCTGAGATTGGTAAGGGCGGTATATATGAATGCTTTAAAACGTTTGTATGTATAAAAAATGAAACGATCGAATGCCCGAATAATAATGAATGTGTATTTTGTAAACTATCGAAAATAAACGATTACAATTAGGAAAATATCTATCTGTACATATAATAAAAAAATTGTAACTGATCGCTGTCTGTACATGAACATATTTGAGAAGCACTATTATTGGGGGTCCTTATTAACGCAATAGAATACAAAATAATTTTTAGAATTTTTGTCTGTTTGTCAGTGTGTTTGTGCGCGTTAATCTCATAAACGGCTTAACAAATTTGGGTGCGGTTTTCACTAATATATTGTGGTAAACTTCACTTAACATTTTGTATTTATTTTGTTTCAATCGATTTATAAATGAAAAAAAAATTATGTCAATTTAAAGGATCACCAACTGAGTGAGTCACTACTAGAGTAATAGGTATAATATAAGGTATTAACATAGAGTAGTAATATTTAAACACTAGCATTGCCCGCGGCTCTGCCCGCGTTAAGATGACTAAAAACCAAATTCTTACAAAGGTAAAGGTAGTATACTCTTATAATGCAGTTTTCGTATTTTTTCTCAGAAATTACTCATTTTCGCGCGGTAAAAAGTATTCTATATGTTGAACTGTATAACCAGCTAACCAGCATCACCATACCAAATTCCATCAAAATCCCTCCAGTACTTTTTCTGTGATGCGGTAACAGACAGACAAAAATTCTAAAAAGTAAAGATTCGGCCTCTGTATCGATAATAATGTTTATTTCAATAAGATTTTCCGAATAATAATGAATGTGTATTTTGTAAACTATCGAAAATAAACGATTACAATTAGGAAAATATCTATCTGTACATATAATAAAAAAATTGTAACTGATCGCTGTCTGTACATGAACATATTTGAGAAGCACTATTATTGGGGGTCCTTATTAACGCAATAGAATACAAAATAATTTTTAGAATTTTTGTCTGTTTGTCAGTGTGTTTGTGCGCGTTAATCTCATAAACGGCTTAACAAATTTGGGTGCGGTTTTCACTAATATATTGTGGTAAACTTCACTTAACATTTTGTATTTATTTTGTTTCAATCGATTTATAAATGAAAAAAAAATTATGTCAATTTAAAGGATCACCAACTGAGTGAGTCACTACTAGAGTAATAGGTATAATATAAGGTATTAACATAGAGTAGTAATATTTAAACACTAGCATTGCCCGCGGCTCTGCCCGCGTTAAGATGACTAAAAACCAAATTCTTACAAAGGTAAAGGTAGTATACTCTTATAATGCAGTTTTCGTATTTTTTCTCAGAAATTACTCATTTTCGCGCGGTAAAAAGTATTCTATATGTTGAACTGTATAACCAGCTAACCAGCATCACCATACCAAATTCCATCAAAATCCCTCCAGTACTTTTTCTGTGATGCGGTAACAGACAGACAAAAATTCTAAAAAGTAAAGATTCGGCCTCTGTATCGATAATAATGTTTATTTCAATAAGATTTTCCAAAAAATATTTAATGCACAGACTCCGCTTAGTTACAATTTTATTATATGTATGTATGTATCATATGGCTAAGAAAAGTTTCGATTATGCTTCTCTCTCCTATATTTTCTTTTCTCTTTTTGGGTGTACAATTAAGGGTTATTATTATTATTATATCACTGGCTTCATGTCATGCGATGTCTGTGCATATGTCACGAACACGATAACTGAGTCAATCACCTTTACAAAGTCCATCGCTTTGTTCTAACAATCTGGGCCGACTGATAAATAATATATAAACTAGATACATTAACTGCTATTCATTATAGTCTACAGTCCCCAACGGGTTTTCTTAATGTTTAATAACAAGCGAAAACTTTACGAGTAGCTTCATTTTGACGAGACGAAACTTTTCTTTGTACGAAAATCTGATACTGGTAGATACAATTGTGGATTGATATGGAACATGTCGAAATGGTGATAGTATATTACCTATATATTACCTATATATGTGTTGACCCGCATAACCAGCTATCATCATACCAAATTTCATCAAAATCTGTCCAGTGGTTTTCCCGTGATGCGGTAACAGACAGACAGACAGACAATAATTCTAAAAACTATAGATTCGGACTCTGTATCGATAATAAAGTCTATTTCAATTAAATTTTCCAAAAAATATTTAATATACAGATTGGACTTAGTTACAATTTTACTATATGTATAGAGTAGACTAACAGATTGTTCTACAACTTAATCTTGAGATATTCCAACATAAAACAAGAAAAAAAAATCCTACAAAACAGATGGTTTGGGTCAAATAGTAACTCTCCTAACTTGTTAATGCAACAACTATATAAAATTTATTAATAACCGGCTAATTTCATAGTATTTATTATTAAAAATGTGCATAATTGAATGCTCACATCGTCTTAAAAATAAAATGGTAGGATTTCTCGGTCCTACGCTCGGAAACTGCCTACCGCACGGTGATACTTTATTCATTACTAACTGTAGGACAAAGGAGCACATGAAAGGTAAGTATACTTTCAACAAAAAAACATTGACACATATTTACGGAACGTTTATATCTTCAGCTGCAGTCGGTCATATAGTACCTACTAATAAGTTACGGTATGGCTATTTTCAACCGACTTCCTCAAAGAGGAGGAGGTTCTCAATTCGGCTGTATGTTTTTTCTTATGTTTGTTACCTCAGAACTCCGTCATTTATTAACCGATCTGGACAATTTTTGTTTTGTTTGAAAGTGTATACTTCAAACAAAGTACTTCGAAGTCGGTGCCAGCCAATACAACGCAAAGCACACCGACTTCGAAAATATTTGATTAGGTATGTATAGTAAATGAAAACTACCAATCACTAATTTTTTTACTTTTTAGTGCTTTTGTTTGAAGTGGGTTTTTATTTTTTTGTTAAAAAGTTTTTATTTTCAATCTTTATTAATGTCCCACTGCTGAGAAATCGTTACGGCATCTGTATGTCTGCGAGAGTCCAGCAAGTTATAGAAATACACGTGCAATCCGCCAATCCGGACTTCGCTAGTGTGGTGGACTTTAGCCTGATCCTCTTCGTACAGGAAACTAGTAATCAGCAGTGGGACGTTAAAGTAGGCTGAATACACACATTTTTATTTAATTGTATTTTTTTAAAGTATTTTTTTATCTGATAAATATCTAAATAAATAAATAATATATACAATACCTACCTTTTATAAGTGTGCTTTTCGTCTTAAGGCTTATAAGTTGCCTACCTTATCTATAAGATTTTTCTATGTATTATAATTTTAAGGTGTAAGGAAAAATAAAGCTATTTTTATTTTATTTATCTACATCAGTATCCCGTTTTAACCCGTAAGTAAATTAGATGGCCATAATAATGTATATAACTTTACGATTGGCGTAATATAGGGGCGTGACGCTTTTGCACTTAGTTATTAAATAAATTAAAAACATTGTAATAGATAATGAGAGGTCATTTGATTAAAAATTACGTGCACACATCGCCTCATATTTGTATTACACTATGTAGAAGTGATAAAATTCCCAAGAGTTAATGAAGTTAAATAATAATTTGTTGCTACGGTAATTTTAATCTGCTAGATTTTTTTTTATTATTGAAGAGAAAATTTTGAGACACCCTTATTAATTGAACTAGTTTCCGTCAAACTGACCATAATTATTATTGAAAATTTAAAAAAATAACTGGCGCAAGACTCTGGGCTGCAATTTTCTAAACCGAAAGACTCAATAATTAGACTTGGCTTGGGACTCGAACCCAAAACCTCCGGATGTACATCCGAACATGTTAGCAACTTCACTGCCGAAGTAGTTATACATACATATATAAGTATTAAGTACATGTGCGCACGTAGTCGCAGGAAAAGGCTAGTTTTCTGTTACTACTTGATTTGAACTATAACCTACATATATGTACATAACCTCGTAAGTCAAATAACAATATACAAAGACAACGAATGTCGGATGATCTTTACTCAATATTTTTGTAGGAATATTTATTATCTATAGATAGGTATATAATTATAATTACCTGTCTTACACTCAAAATAAAAATAATAAGATACTTTCTTCGATTTACGCGAATATTTAACATTTTAAATAAAACTATCTACAGAGTCTGTTACAACTATATAATACCTTTGAGACATCTAACACCTCAGTCTCTCCCGTGACCATGATTGCTATAAAGCTTTCGAAACGTCGGGAACCAAAAATCAAAATGAATTCGCGAAAAAATCCTATAAGATAGTTTTATTGAAAACAATAATAAGAGGTTATTTTTTTATTTATACGTTATACTATCGACTGAAGGCAGTGGTAGCCCAGTGGTAACGCGCTCGCTTTTTAAACCGATTGAAGCGGGTTCAAACCCCGGTTCTTGCTCCTCTGATATTTTCATGTGCGAATCATCACGCGGCATATTTTGACACTCGCAAGGGAAGCAAAACCTGTAGGGTAGGTACTTGCCGTTGACCTAGAATCATGAAATTTGGCAAGAAGCAATGGCTTATAGCTCAAGTAAAAGGAAAAATCCGAAAACCGTAGTAACAGCATTTTTTTTGTGATTATAAACTTATTTTAATACCCTCTATATATTTTAGTACCCTCGGTTTGCGAGTCAGATATGAACTTGTCCAATTTTTTTTCACTCATAACTAAAACTCGTCAAAAAACAAAAAAAAGTTAAAATCGTTTGACAAACAGAGATGAAAAAGGTACTAAACTATTTTGTCTTTACCAATTTATGTATACTTATATAGATTTAAATTTCAAATTACATAATTATCAATTTTAAAATAATTGACGTCTAACTTATAATAAATTAATAAGGAATTAAAAAAATATATGATGTAAGTAAAATACAGAACACACGTGTACAAACTACAAACAAACAGTTAATCATCCACTTTGCAATGAGTTAATTTATAACGATTAGTTTTCCATAATTGCAGTAATAAGATATTCTTATTGCGAAATCTATTGTCATAATACCTACTACACTCGTATTTCCACTATATCTACAATCGTGCCTCGGAGAGCACGTAAAGCCGTCGGTCCTGCGCCTTAACTCTCACTGGTCGTGTCGAGTGATCGTCCCACCAGAGTATGAGAGTGACAGGAATAGAGAGTGCACGTTGTGTCTGCGCGTACACGCGCTGCACTATAATATCTCTCTCTCCTCTCTCTCCTGCGCAGTTGGCTAGTCTCAATGAGATTGGCCGTCGTGGCCGAAATTGATCAAAAGATCATACCTAGTATATAATATAACACTCACCTCGCGGTTGATTTCTAAGAAACCAATTGTTAACCACCTGTGGCTCGGCAGTTTCTGACAGGTTAGAAGTTTTCCCTAGAATAATAGAACCCTATTAGTTAAAGTAAGGACTAAGGAATCCTCTACAATAAGCTAACGTAACTTCTCTGTAAAAGTACTCGTCTGTACAAAACCTAAATAATAAAATACGTGAATCAAGAGAATAGAGTTTTTCAAAACTTAATTATTAAATATCAAATCTCAGCATTGTAGCTCCTTAATAGTATTCGATTAAAATTGTTATGACGTATGGACAAACGAGCACACATACATAGCGGAATTATAAGGGTTCTATTATAGCAGTACTGGCTACCGAATCCTAAAAAGTCATGAAAATCAGTCCACAGTTAATGAAGTTTCAGTGCATAAATTTATACACACAAACTTACAAGTATTTAAGCTTTCATGATAACAGACTTTGTTGATTAGATATGATTATTATATGGGATATTTACCAATTTTTTGGTTCGACTTCCTATTAATTCGGTACTATTGCAAAAGTTACGACGATTATAAAACAGCTAGCGGTCACTCTCGCTTCACTCGGATTCATCCCGGTACATTTTAGCGGTTAGTATGGAATAGATAGAGAACATATGTATTATATGTACATAGGTACAAAAAAAACAGTACTGAACAAAAAAAAATAGAAATATTTCTGAAAAGGTAATTCCTATTTTTTTATACTTAAGCCACCCCTGACCACACCCCCAACAAAATAAAAAAAGAATTATTCAAATCGGTCCAGCCGTTTTTGAGTTTTAGAGAGACTAACGGACGGCAGTTGATTTTTATATATATAGATTTAAGTACGTACGTAACACGAATATGTAGGTATATACATAAAGTAGTTATCTAGTTTAAAATCAGTCAGGCACGAGCACATTAATTTTATTTATAAGAATTGCGTAGATATTTGTTTATTTATTTTAAACGTAATATAAATTCCACGTTCTAATACAACATGTGTGTTGTTCTTAACAAATTAACATACAGATGTTATTACCGCTTTTATGTACATTTACTAGATTTCGTCTAGCATCATATGAGAAAATCAACCATAATTCAAAATTGGATGAAAACCTATATGAATAGAATATACCTATCTATACAAAAAAACTGTTTTCAATTTTTTTTTACTGTTAACGCTAAAGCTCGTCAATAGCTACTAAACAAAAAAAAAAGAAAACCGGTCGACAAACAGACGAAAACAAGGTACTATATCGATATGTAATAATATAATAATAATAATAAAATAGTTTGCTCCCCAATACAAACTTTCATCCCCATTCTTTTTTATTCTTCCTTAAGGGATGATTTCCGGGATAAAAAGTATCCTATGTCCTTCCTAGGGTCTCAAACTATCTTCTCACCAAACATTTAAATCGGTTTAGTGGACCCAGATATTATCCTCTACAACCTCACAAACTCACAAACTTTACCTCTTTATAAGTAATATTAGTACATAGATATAGATAAATATAATTATCTAACATTTTGACAATACTGTCAATTTCTTTTTTAAATATTTTTATCATGAAGAAGAAACTGAACAACTGAATCTCAATCTGTCAACTTTTTTTTAAAGCTTTTTTTTACTTTTCCGTACAATTTTTCAAATATATTTTTTTCACCCAAACCTTGTCCTGCCAATTACAAACACAACAAAAAAGAATTAGCCATATAGTTGCAGCTGTTCTGAAATATTTCGCTTACATACATACATTTGGTAATTGATTTTTATTTATATAGATAGATTTTACAGTAAACATTCCGATATCGTTACATGACGTAAAAAAAAACAATATTTTGAACAAAAAAATCTATAAAAAAGTCTAATTTAGAATCTATAAGGAAATGAATACACTTAAGCAATTTATATTTAGAAAAAATACAATTAATATTACAATACTATTAAATCATATAAATTGATTTGTTCTTTTAAAAGCCGTTTCCGCGTTTTTGACGTAATGTAAGACGTGAGTTACTAAACTATAAGAGATTTACTCACTCACAATTTAAAATATTTAACTGTATAAATTCTTATCGATACTAAAATTATAAATGTAAACGTAACTGTTTCTGGTTACCTCTTGGCTTTTTACGCGAAAAACGCTGAACGGATTTCGATAAAATTTGGCAAGTACATAGATTACATCCTCGGAACGGACAAAAACTACTCTTTCTTCGCCCGCTAATTACACGAGCGAGAAAAAAACTAGTAATACTACCATACTAATATTATAAATGTGAAAGTGTGTTTGTTTGTTTAAAAGAAGGACTTCTTTCACGTCGAAATGGAATAACAGATTGGCGTGATTTTTTGTATGGAGATAGTTGGAGAGCTGGAGAGTGACATTGGCTGCTTTTTAACCCAGGAGATTATCTCATTCCCACGGAAAAACACGTTTTTAATACAACCCAAAAAATATTTATGGTCAGATTTACTTGAAACTTGGTATTAATGCTCTTCAATACAATTAAATAAATACGTTTTTGAGCATTTTTCGAAATTCATCCCATAAGGGGGTAAAATAGGGATGAAAGTTTGTATGAAACCTACCATTTTAGAGTTTTTTTTTAGTTTTAGCGCGAGCGAAGCCGCGGGTTCCGCTAGTATTATATAATTTGCACGTCTGTTATTTTTGGATCTTAATTTAATAATATATGAAATAAAATTTTACTTTTAATTCTAAATTAATTTCAAAATCATTTTAAAAAGTACTTATGTAAATTAATTAATAATAAATATCCTGCCAAATGGGTGGTAAATGAGTACTTTCTCCTCTATTGAAATTAATCAATAATAAATAATAATATATCCATTAACAAATATAAGCCACAATAAAACTTTACTATCACTTTTATTAATTTTAAATTATGCCTTTCTTCGATATTTCAAATTATGACGTTTTTATACTTTCTTTGTTATTGAAGAATTTTATTCACTCCGAGCAAAACCCGCGGCTTCGCCCGCGTTCGTTCGTTCGTTTTACATATTAGTATACTCTTATATTTCAGTTTTTGTATTTTTTCTCAGAAATGAGACATTTTTCCGCGGTAAAACGTATCTTATATGTTGACCCGGATAATCGGCTATCATCATACCAAATTTCATCAAAATCCCTCCAGTGATTTTTCTATGATGCAATAACAGACAGACAGACAGACAGACAGACAGACAGACAGACAGACAGACAGACAAACAGACAGACAGAGAGACAAAAAATCTAAAAATTATAGATTCGGCCTCTGTATCGATAATAATGTTTATTCAATAAGATTTTTCAAAAAATATTTCATGTACATATTCGGCTTTGTTACAATTTTATTATATGTATAGATTTAGAAATAAGGTATTTAGGATTATCACATGGCATCAAATTTGCGTTTTATTTTTTATTTTAGCGGCCTGTCACATCGAGACCCTCATCAAGCAGAGGCTTGGTCATGCGTCCCTATAAAAAATATAGCCCTGACTCTTGCGTTAAGGAAACTATATTCTACTTAATACATGATATAGATACCTGTTTAATGGTACTAGTGAGTAGAGGTATACAATATCACGCGAGTCCGATAGGCGCTTGGGTACATTTTCAGAGGATAGGAGAATTTCCAAAGAAAGATTACGCATAACTCACCTGAAGGTTCTCGAAATACCTATAAAAAATAGCTTATATTGCTCAATATATCGTCTAAAACCTTAGTCTCTCCCGTGACCATGATTGCTGTAAAGCATTCGAAACGTCGGGAACTAAACATCATCCGAAAAGTTAGTTTTATTTAAAATGTCAAATATTAGCGTAAAACTAAGAAAGTATTAAGAAAGTAAAGTTAACATTTTGTTTCCCACAAAATATCACAATTTGAGAGTCCAATGTACACGCGCCTTATAAATATTAATAAATAGTTAAATCTTAAGAGTATAAAACGATTGAGTGTTGGTTATTTTTATGCCAAAGTACAAGTCTATGTAACACGTAACTAATTTGTAGTCAAACATAAATAAAAACTGAATAATGTTGTAACAAGGTAATCAAATAAACTCTAGTAAATTTTAGCAAAAGGTGAAAATTTTGGTTAGTTTCCTAGTAGAAAGACATAAAACGTAAAATTAAAAATGTGTTTTAGACCCATAAAAAATATAGATAAATTAAAGAACTTTCATAATATACATATAGGTATAATAGGACCTAAACATATTTTAAAATCTGATAATGAGTAAAGTTGAGTTAGAGTTGTTCAATGATTCCGGGGCAGAGGCTGACTGCTACCGGACGCGTCCCCGGGTGGCGGATAGGGGAACGCCACTCGCGCCTGTTTGGACCCGACAGGAGCTTGTGGTACCGGAGCAATCCGGCGCGGACCAACAGCCAGGAGGGGAGGTTGAGGGAGCGGCGTTAGGAGGGCGCCGTCTCCTTCTTGGAGGTAGTGCGGTGTCTCCGGCCGTTTCGCGGTAGGAGGCGCTGCGCGGGCCACACTGCCGGGGCTAGCACGTCGGTGCGGCGGCTGGAGCGGGGCCAGTTCGGTGGTCCTGCGTCTGGCGAGGAATGTCGGCAGCCATTTTGGTCCGGAGGTGGGCCGACGGTAGGGGGGCCGCGGGGGAAGAGGAATGTCGGTATGGCGATGCGCCGCTCGTCCCTATCTCCCGCGGCCTAGCGGGGCCACCACCGTTGATGGTGGACGCGGTGGGGCTGCAGGGGAAGGGGAGTGTCGGCGTTGTCGCATCCTCTTCTCCTGCAGCCGTTTGTGGTGGGCTCGTTCGCGGGCGTTTTGGAGGTTTGCCCAATAGGGTGGGAAGGTTCAGGCTTAGGCCGCTTATTTTTGCAGGTGCCCACTTCGGTGGGCGGTGTTTACGTTGTGTGGGGCTGCTCCGGGTACTTCTCTGACCAGCAGAGTGGACTTGGGAGCAGCCTCACGTAGAGGGTTGATAGTCTTCCCATAATGGGGTTGTCCCGCTTGGGGCGGCCTCATGGTTGGTGGCTTCGGCCAACCGTCGGGGCGTCGCGGTTGTATGCGAAAGCGATCCCGTGGCGTCCCACATGGTGGCAGGGGGGGGGGGGGAGTTGGGTTTTAGTGGGTATGCCGGTCTCATTAGCCGGAGAGTCTCCACATAACCACCCCGGGGGAAGTCGGGTGGTATCCGTAATAGGATTTCCCAACTATAAAAAAAAAAAAAAAAAGTTGTTCAATGACAATTGCTGTGAATCTTGTTACATGTATTATACGAGTACTGTGTTTGATACTGTGTTTCTTCGTTAACTTGTTTTCATATTTTAGTTCGTTTTTTACGCAATCGGGTTTTGCTATTTTCGTAAATTAATTTCTATTAATTTTTCCGAAATTTCCCTCACTTGATAGTTATGTCGATATAAAGTACCCTATATACTAATCATAAATATATAAAAACTTAAAAAAAAAAACCGACTTCCAGGCACTAAAATGTAAAAAAGCCGACGCATAGGAAATCTAATATATTTTGATAAGTAAAAAAATACATATTTACCTATTAGATATTCATATCTTAAAATATTGTAGGCCGGCACCGACTTCGAAAATATCTGATCAGGTATCTATTCTAAATGAAAACCCCCGTTTAGTTATTTTTTACATTTTAGTGCCTGGAAGTCGGTTTAATTTTTTTTTATGTTTTTATTTTTATATTTTTATATTGTAGACGTAATAAGCAGGTAATTTGTAGGAAGAAAGTTTTTAATAACATATTCGACTAAACAATTTCTTTAAAAAAATATTTATTGTTGATTTTTTTTAAAACCGCTTGACTGATTTCGATAACATTTATATGTGACCACCTGGGAAGTATATCCTTTCAAACAAAACAAAAAAATTCCAAATCGGTTCAGGCGTCTTTGAGTAATCGGTGAACATACATAAAGAAATAGATTCCGACGAATTGAGAACCTCCGCGTTTTTGGAAGTCGGTTAAAAATATCTTACTTACCCTTTGGACTATTACACTGTGATGAAGTAACAAACTAACGTTTTTTGCGTAATTTATAGAACATATGTAGTCACGTGCTCCATTAGTTTATTGTAACAGACGACCTATCAACTAGTAGGTATGCCATGACACTTGAAATGTTTGTTTATCTTTATCTGGCAAAGCGTTCTTGAATAAATCGCAATGCATAATTATCCATAAAGGGTGACCTCCCGCATGTAACTAGGTGGCTTCAATTAACCTACACTTATATAACATTGAGGATCTAGTGCAAAATCGTAAATGATAAGATATGAGTTTGATTCTTGCGGGAAAATATATTTACCTGGCTTACCCTGGCTTTGTTCACGTATAAAATGGTATATACTGGTACGTGTGTACATATATAATGTGGCTAATCATAAACTTGATGTATGTTACTAAGAATTCTCCAAAAGACCAATGTCGTTGTTAAATTGAATGTTTCAAACAAACAGACATTTTGTTTAATATAATATAGACTGCTGTTTTCTTGAATTTTGATTCAATTTTCTTATTCAATTTTCTTGCGATATCACACATGACACATCATTACACTTTTTAAAGTGTATCAGGCATGAAGATACTCCTAGCTACTTATAAGAAAAATAATTTGGTATCTCAATTGCTGTCAACGGTCAAGAAGAATTTAAACTAATATAAAATACTAGCGGCTCACCCTGGCATTGCTCGGGCTTGCCCCGAAAAAAACAAAAACAAATCTATCCCACGGGAACCGTATATTTTTCCACGATAACAAGCCTATTTGTTATTCTAATGAGTGAGGTATATTATTGTAAAGTTTCATTAAAATCCTTTTAGTAGTTTTTAAGTGAAAGAGCAACAAACATCCATACATCCGCGCATCCTCATTCATCACAAACTTTAACATTTATAATATTATTAGGATTCATGAAGAGTGATTGTGTTTATTATAATGATTTTTTGACTGCATTTTATTCTACACTATACCTAATCGTGAACAGGTTTTTTTACTTAGTTTGTTTGTCCCAGATATTTTTTATAAATACTAAATAGCTAACGTTGAGTAGCATTTGCGATATTTTATTAACGAATGTGAGCAGTGTCGCGTAACATACTATAACATAAGTTATGTTTAAATAACCTGTGGATATGAAAATGCGCGGATGTAACGAGAAATCGCTAAGAAAAACTTGTATCAACGTAACTAGCGTTTATTTATAGAATACGGGAGCATTTCTTTTAACTATCTTCGTAACTGTCTTTTAACGATGCCGTTAACAGTTAACTATAACCATTTACGTTATTACGAGGTATATAATTTATTATGGATCATTTATTTTTTCTTTATATATTTGAAAGAATAATGGCATAATCACAAAACAACTCAGAATAATAATAATAACTTCTAAACTGTCACTTTTTATGATTAAAATGTAAAGACAAACACGAATGTAGAGACAAACACGAGCGAAGCCAGGGTGAGTCGCTAGTTATTTTATGAACCAAAATAATACGTATTTTACTTTTTAATGTACGTTTTAACGATTAGTAAAGAATAGACACATTTATACTAGATGTAAAAATTTAGGTAAATACTTATATATTATTAATACTTATATAAGCCAGGGTGAGTCGCTAGTTATTTTATGAACCAAAATAATACGTATTTTACTTTTTAATGTACGTTTTAACGATTAGTAAAGAATAGACACATTTATACTAGATGTAAAAATTTAGGTAAATACTTATATATTATTAATACTTATACTATCCTATGTCCTTCCTAAGGTCTCAAACTATTTCCATACTAAATTTCATCTAAATCGATTCAGCGAATAATGTGTGAAAAGGTTACAGACAGACAGAGTTTCTTTCGCATTTATAATATTAGTAATAATGTCATTTGGCTTTTATATTTAATTTTATAATATGTACCTACTATAGTCAAAAATTATAGTGTGAAAAGAACACCTTTTTGTCAAGCTTCTATCCGGACTATTAGTATATTTATAAAAATTGAAATAAAATACAGAAAAAAGAGCCCTAAAAAAATTCTAACACAATTTTGCAAATGCTTACACGGTTTATAACTTTACGTTGAATAAGTAAGTAATTTGATTCTAATGACCTGATCTCATTTCTTCAATTGCAAAATTATTATTGCATAATTATATTGGGTGATGGATCACTAGTTTAAATCTATACCTAAGTACATATAATAAAATTGTAACTAAGCCGAATCTGCACATTTAATATTTTTTGGAAAATCTTATTGAAATAAACATTATTTATTATCAATACTGGGGCCGAATCTATAGTTTTTACATTTTTTTGTCTGTCTGCCTGTCAGTCTGTCTGTTACCGCATCACAGAAAAACCACTTGTGGGATTTTGATGAAATTTCGTATGATGATAGCTGGTTATCCGGGTCAACATATAGGATACTTTATACCGCGGGAAAATGTCTCATTTCTGAGAAAAAATACAAAAACTGCAATGTAAGAGTATACTAATATGTAAAATCTAAGAATTTGGTTTTTGGTCATCTAAACGCGGGCGGAGCCGCGGGCAATGCTAGTTAAATAAATAAATGGCAACTGGTCAAAAACATCTTATACTTGTTTTATAAAACACTATATAGTAAATTACTAATATTTATGACACTTTTT